AATATACCTTAAAGTGTAGCTTGAACTATTTATATTTCAATCTAAGAAAAAGGCTAAGACCACTTATGTTCGTTATGTTAGCGCTCCATTCCATGTTTGTTTCATACTGTGGTAGTTCGGGAAGAAAAATTATAACGCCTAGATAGCAGGGCAATTTATACAGTAAAAAGATAAGAGCTTTACTTTTTCCATTTCTGTCGTATAGGTGGATTGGGAGCAGTTCCATGTTACTTGAGTTCATACATCATCTTTCTAGGCTATGTACAGTATATTACTTACTTTCGAAGCCGACGTTAATCTCTAGTATATGATACAGTATAGAGGATACATAAGGGTAAGGTAAGCAAAAATTGCCATCATCTCCGCTAGTTCGTTCTATGCAAATTACTAGTGAGGGTACATAGAAAGCAGCATCCATGAATAAGCAAGATTTAGATTTAAAGCTAATAAAACTCTTCCTGCTTGATTTATACAGTCAATAATTTTGACCTATTGCCATCATTGAGCATAAATGACAGCTTTTGTAGTGTGCTTTCTCTACTCTAATTCAGACAACAGAAATATTACATCTACGAGGCCTTACAACCACTACCGTACAAAGTATTGGATTTATACATGTAAAGTCCATGACAAAATACATGTATGCCTCCAATGTTCTAGTCTGTCGACAGAACTTATGGAGCCTTACAGCTAAGTTATACGGCTAGCTGTAAACTGTGGATTAACTATTCCGTCATCGGCCTTATGTGAACGTTCATTTCTAGCGCAACAATATGTGAAAATCTTTTCCTCTACGGGTATGAATAATAAATAAGTCCACCATTACGATTGATTGTTGGGCTTGTTATTGCCATGACATTGTCTAAACAGGATATGCGAATACAATGTCAGTCGAATCAACTTGTAGATGAGAGAAGGAATCTTGACGTTGGCAATACAGTAAGACAAGAAATCATTGATCAAGATTGATTGACATACTGCAAATTAATTACTTATTGTCCTTGATTGGTTTGTAAATTATTGTTATCGAAATCGATTGTCTATCAAAAAACAACATCGTTGATTCAATGTTGAGAGTAAACATTATTCAACAGAGTTTTGTTTCTAGTCAGCACGCGTGCCTTTAAAATTCAAAGAGAACCTAGTGGGTATTTGCTGTTCGCAATAAGTGCCTTCAATTGTCCTTGTCGCCAAGATCGGCAAGAGCTATTTGATTCGGCCTAAAATGTTGTATCGGTGGAATCAAATTAATGAATTGATTATTGTGGGTACCGACAGAGAAAACTGTCCATACTCGTGTCTATACTCACTTCAAGTGATTCTTAATTGGACTCATACTGTTTAGATTTCACAATTAGTATCCGTTTCGTAATGCAGTCCCAAACCTTGCTAAGACTAAGAGTTTAAAATTGTCGGAGAAGAAACCTAATTGAGCTTTATAATCGAATATCCGTCAAATTATTCTCGTATAATTTTATAATCCTAATCTTAGCTAGGTTTGGGGCTATATTACCCATGTGTACAGTACAAACTCGTATATTATTGTTAAAATTGTTATAGGTATAACTGTTCTCTATCAGCTCGTATTTAGTAGTGCTTTCAAGAATCAAGGTATCAAGGCATCAATCATATCATGCTTTGCCCATTCGCAGTAAGATGATATTTTTACCGGTGGATTTATGAGCGCACCTAAGGTGTACAGCGACGATCTTTAGCTCACTTTCTTAATTACTTTTGGCATCCAAGTTGAGACGAAGAGGATTTGAATATGCCATTTGGTTAAAAGAGACAATCAGCAAAGGGGTGGGGTAAAAGCGTCAAGTTGAATCATTTATAACTAGAATAATTGTAGCATTTATCATTTACCATCACGACATTAGGTTAAATTACGTTAATTAAATCAAGTCAAATACAGTACTGTCTTGTGTATCCTACTGTTTACGTCGGCAGCCAAAATAGCCGATTACATAACCGATGGAAGTATAATCATTATTATTCAAGGAGACAATGCCACAGGCTAGTCTGGATCCGTTTAATCAACTCCCCTTTAAATAGATTGTCAATTTGTCGACGAGTCTGCAATGTGCTGTACATTAAGCCATATTCAAAGAAACAGTTTGATACTTGTTTAATTTCATCAGCATAATGATTCTGAAACGACTATCATACCCGCATACAACAGTGAGTGCAACTGCAATGGTATATTAATTGTCCAACTGCTGCCACTTGTGCGCTTTTATTTGAGGACGTCATTACTTTCGCATATTAAAACCGTTGATTAAAATCGATTACTCTTTCAGAATCTATAAATTATCTGTAACAACAGCAACAAGGATAAAAAAAAAAATTGAATTATTGCCCTTTACTACTGCCTAGTCTACGTTACGATTGGATCGATACTCTAGGAACGAAGTCTTGACTGATCGTTTATTCGGCTAGCCCAATCCGATTGTGTGGGACGGTCCAATTTTTCAAATTATTTACTGGCTCATTGATATTTCGTCAACATCTTGGTTATAATTAATTCAGTCAATTTCAACTCAGACAGATTCAGCTTTGCTTGTTTCGTGAACTTATCTGGTGTTGACTGTTGGATTTTAGCGCATTTGGGTGTTTATGAGTCAAGGTAAGTTCGTTATTTATTTAACCATCTACGTTGATGAGGATAAAATTTTAAAATTTTCTGACTAAATCCCCGGTTTATCAAGCCTACATCCTCAGTAATAGGCAACTGATCAACTTCATACCATCACCGGCCGTACTGATTACTACTGAACCGGTTAATCTACAATTGATAAAAAAAAAAAAAACAAGGTACTGGACATCTAGTTCGCTATAGAAAATATTGCAGTTACAGTAAATTGTGCCAGGATAAGATGATTTAGAAACGATTCAGCCAGCCATTGACCATTATTATTGGCGAAGCCGTGGCTGGTGATACTTTGCGTGCTGTACTTGTACTTTTTACTAGGCATTTAATAATAGATAGACGGCAAGGAAATCATTCACGAGAATGTCAATATCCGACCGACGTTAGACTCGATACTGGCCGTCGTATGTAGATTGGTATTAATATCGATGATATTGGTAGAGATTGGACTTGATTGAATTCAGTGTAGAGTTTAATTTTGGCACGGCGATTTATCAATGACAGTCCGAGTAAGGTCTCTAGTGAATCGAAAAATGGCTGCGGGCCAAGATGTAAAAGTAGGACATCCTGTGTTCAAATGGACAAATTGTCGTCACTACCGTATCCATGGAAAACTACAATCTAGTATGATACCGTTCGTTATAGTCAGCATGGTTTGGCCATATGCAATAGACAACTACATAATCCGTAGCTATGCTAATTTGTTTACTATCCACGTCCAACTTAACACGCACAGTTGTACACATGTTATCCCTGAGTTTGTTTATTAGCTCTTTAGCTTAATGTCATTGATTAATGCATTAATTAATTAATTTGAGCTACAGCAGCCATTACCGACTTGGTATGTTTAGACAATCAAGGCCGGAATCCAATTTTTTACCGATAGAACGCAGGCAGTGATAAATAGTCGCCGCATGTTGTCTGCCGTGACTCCACAGCGAGAAAAGTAGAGAGATATCCACAGTCAAAATTTCATTTTTTTTTTTTTTATCTTGTCGACATTATACAGTACAGTACTGTACAATCACTGGATAATTTTTTTATAGTTCATTTGAATTCAGTGTTTACTTATAGTATTCCATATTGATTGATTTATTATACAGTCTATGACAGTGGCATCAACAGATAAAAAAACAATTTTTTGCTGTGGCCATCCAGATAAAAAAAGGTATTAAGGGGTTTATTATCTCTCTCTCAGGCAGCATTCCATCTTGAATGTATGTTACTGGTTCGCCATGATAACCACCAGTATAATGAGAATTGGATGCCTGAAGGCTATTTACTCTGACTTTGTTTGTCCATTTCCAGTACGAATATTATATACAGCAATGCAATACCAGGCGGGCAAGAAAGTCGATCACGCAGTTTATTATACAGAGCAATTTTCCATTTTTTCCAGCTTGTATCTCCTATTTGTAGTATCTATTGACAGTGTACAGGTTATCCTACTTAGAAAGCCGAGTAAGCATGGACTCCAATTATCGTTCTTGCTTCAAAAGAAAAACCGACTTGAAGTGAACTAGCATCCTGTCGTCCATTGGGATACCTGGCCGGATGATGGAACGACTTGAGGCAGTTGGAGTCTAGTTACTAGACATGTATTATACGGAGAGGATTGGCCATTGTCATGCCTGATCTACGTCACCAATGAAAGTTGACCACTGTAGTGATTGATGTCCAACAACAACGCACGTACAATAGGTCAAAGTACGAGATAAAAAATCAATGCTTTCAATAGATAGCAAACAATAGACGGCCGACCGCTTTTATGACTTTCTATAGCGGGTGACATTGACATGCACACGCCGTACAGTACTGTATAATGTCCAGTGTCCATTCAGTCAGCTTCACTTTCAACCTATGAGTAAATACCGTATTGCACACTAGCTCAATATTGTTATTGGCTTGTACAACACAACTTCAGATTACATTCAATCCTCTTGGACATAAGTCATTGCGATTGGCTGAAATCGCTCATTAGCTTCATCTTACCACTGAGATTAATTGACTTTATCTAGTGGGAGTAAGATTGACTCACCCCCTACACTTCACCCTCTTTGGGTCATTTCGGTACAGTTAAATATAGAAAGGAAAAAATTGACTGCAGTAGTTGGCTTTCCTATTTCAAAGACGGCAAAATTCTTTGAAATTTTCCTTCATTTCTAATTTCTAGTTTCATTTTTTTTTCCCCCTCTTTCAATCGTCTTCTAATTATTTCATTGAATTCAGGAAGCCAAAGAAAAAGAGTGACAACTGGTGAAAAAAAATTATCTATTGCAGCCGGACGCATTTGGATTTTGATCGAAAAAAATTGTTTTTGCCTTCTCTTTCAAATACTGACCCGTTGGCGATGACGATGGTTGCTATACCTTTGGTTACGTTACCTTTGGCTTCTTTCAATAGCCGAAAGTTATGCATGGCAATAATTTTCATGGCTTTTTTACTGTCTTTGATGAAAAATACTCATGCTAATGACAAAAACCACGACCAGACTTGCCAAGCTATTACAAGATTATTTCTCTATCAATCGGAATTTAAGGAGAATATTCCAAGCCAACCTCGAAAAGGTAAAGAGAGTCAAGCCAATACAACCCCATTCCCACGCCATCGTACAATAAGAATAATAATCACAACGATTATTATTATTATCAATCATCCATTGCATTGACTCTGCTGTTAAAGCTAATTTTCTCCTTCAACCAAGGAATGCGATGCAGTTTACTGTGATAGATACCATAACAAATAGATAGGATCACCATCAATTGCCCAATTGTCATCATTGCAAAATAATGAAGGTTATATGCAGCTTAGCCTATCTCGTGCCACTATGTCAATATATTGAAATCATTCCAGCAGGCCAAATACTCAAAGAAATTGCCAACACACCGATTTGAAAAACCACCATTGGTGTACTTTACTGGAGAGATCATCTCTCCAATTTCAAATTTGACCACATTTTTTGCAACACTTTGTTAACAAGAGCTTGTCGGTTTTCAATCACAAATTCGACACGTACAGTATGCCCCTGGACCTATTCTTTGTTCGATACACGGGCCTAGTCTCTTATGCAATCCATCTGCTAGTAGATCATGTTCTCCCTTACTTTTCACCTCCATAATTTTACTATCGGATGCTAGTATTTTAATGCTACTGTAATAAGGAATAGACAAAGTTGATAATGAACAACGATGAGACTGAAATTGTAACTAATAGTAAATATGATTAATTAATTATACAATATACTGTATCTAATAAGTACAGTACTTTTATATTACATTCGTCTAATCTAGCCAAAAAAACCAATGTAAGTGAAAATTGATAATACTACAATACTGCCGTATGTTACTGATAGAATAACCGCCATGGACATAATATTAACTATGGTTTATCTCTAATAATCTTAGTATTTATAAGATTTCTTTAAGTACCAAAGTTTTTTAATTACTTGTCGGTCACCATAGTCAATATTACACCTTTTTACTTATCATTATCCCTATTCCTTTGATGCAGGAAACGATTTACGAGTCTGTCCGAAAATACAAACATGCTGCACACCATCGATGGAAAACTATCTTGTTAAAATGGCAGATAAAAATTTCAAGGCTTTACTCAATACTACTTCTGATCAGTTTCCACAGCAACTTAAAAAGCAATTAGAAAATTTTATGGGTAAGTAATCATGTAAATAGAGTGTCGATTGTTCGTCATTTATATAGAACTTTGCTCTGTAACGTGCTATGCACCGATAGAGTCGATACGGTCACGACATTGAGTAGCTACAAAAAAAATATAAATCAAGCCAGCGTTCAGTCGGTGATTGCCTATTAAACTACGGTATATTGACATGCTAAAATGAAATCAAGCGGTTTGGTATGTTGTCATTATAATTCACTGAAAACAGGCAGGGTTAACAATTTCTAATCACGTTGATCCCGCCAATTGACTTTGCTTTTATGCTACTGTACGTAGTTTAATCAACTAGTTTAATTAACTAGATCATGATCAATTTACCGTCGCATATTATGTAAAATCTAAAGTCCTTGTAACTTTTTATCATAACGCTGATCAATTTGGTAAGATGATTTTATTTCCTCCCCTTACCATCTCTTAAAATAGAGAGGTTTAGTATTTCCATAGAAGGGTGTCATTTGTCAAAAGTCGTCATGGGTATTATGTCTCGAACGTTTATTCATGTACCAATTGAATTCATATTAAGGATTCGCTTTACGTAATACTGGATTAAATAGATGGAACTATACCTAACTTAATTTACCATTCTTACCGAATAATTATAGCAATTTAGAAAATTCGCCATAATTTATATAATTTAGATCAATGTTGATTCTATAATTTCAATACTCCATATTGCAATGAATTGCATATTTACGACACTAGTCATCTATCAACGTTAATTGTACAATGTATGAGTAGAAAACGACATCGCACTTTACTTTTTTCTTCCTATACAGTGACCACCTACAAAATATAGAATGTTTACTCTTACGATTAATGCTACGTATCCGGTGAAAATTTGAATCGAAATACTGAGATATTCTACTGCAATGATATACGAGCGCGTATATATGGGCCTACAGTGGCAATAATTCATTTATCGTTCAAGTTTCTGTGCAAATTGAAAGTGCAATAGTCATTTCTTACTTTACAAAGTTATTTATTGTGGTGTACGTAGAACATTGGTGGCGGATGTAATTCGAATAGACTTTTTACTCTCTAATCTTATCTACACTATGTACATGCACAGTGTAAGTAAATTGCATTTGTATCCTGAAATCATTATTAATGCTACAGTATTTTCAAATGAATATGGCGTCATATGTTATACGTATATTATACGTACTGACAAAAGAAGTTTAGCACGACTCTGAAAATTGTCGATAATTGTCGGAAGGCGCGCTGTGATGATATAAATCATCACCTTTACCGAGACAGCTGGTGATAATAGATAAAATATTTAACGGAAGCGGTAGGAATGAAGTAGTGATGCCACTGCAGCACTAATTTCTTCAATGTGAAAACTAAGTAAAAAGTAGCTTTGATTATGATATCGATACATAATGTACCATAGGGCCAAACAACAAAGATACCGTAGAAGGTAGACGTGAACAATTATCGTCTAGTCAATGACGGTAATTAATAATTAAAATTGCAATAATGCTTAGGTTTGATGGAAACGATTTGATGTCTGTAGAAACGCCTGTTGGATTGTAAGCTAACAATCGACCTGGTGAAGTTAAAGCCAAACTTGAATCCTAGCTAGTTTTACCCATTTTAACCAGAGTGCTACAGTAACCTTTTTTGTCTGTTTAAAGAAATATTTATTTTATATATATTGGTCATAAAATGTAAACTTATTGTTGACAGTACAATATTCAAACTGTACCCTAGTTACGGTAATTCAGAATTTCAAGTAGATACAGTCAATACGTATTTTAGCTATTGCCTAACTTGATTGCTTGATTTTATACACTTGCAACGTTATGCTGATTCGCTCCAACACGTTTACGTCTGCTGAGTTGAACTACTCATGCCTTCAGACTGCACTAAATTTGTTATTACGGTATTTGTTGTTGTAATCATGTAGTATTAAACCCTTTAGGGGAGGATAACATGGGGTAATAAACTAGTCAACAGTTATTAATTTGTTTTTCTCTTCGTCGAGCTTTTTCAATATTCCTGTTGTTGTTTTAATCAAGAGTTAATGTCACTATTCTCGTCGTTTCCATTGTTTGTAAGTTATTTCAATATTTGAACTAATCAATTCACAGTAGGCCACAATAATAGAGGACAATTTACAAAAAAAGAAATCTGTCTATTACTTTCTAAATAGTGATAAAATAGCATTTATTAAACTATTTGTTAAATGCAATTGTGACATTTCATCATCTTTATAGTCATGAATTCATTCGTCTGGATATTATAGATTTAACTTCATGACCGATTTTTATTTATTTGAAAAATTTTGGCCGTTAATAAATTTTGATACCACTGCTGTATTTGGTCAAGTCAGACTACATAGTTTTGAGTACCGTTCGCATTTTAGTAATCAAGACAACCGCATGCTATTAATTCATTATTGGCAATCACAGATTTATTGCTCAGTCACCACAAACATTTCAATGACCGTAGTTTTATATTTTATTATATATTATATATGTATATATATATTATTATATAAAATGATAGATTGCAACCGAAATTATGCCTCAGCTACAAGATCAAAATGCTAGCCTTTAAAAACAAAACAAAACGACGAAAAAAAGCGTAGCCGTTGATGTTCTGTATGTAAGGTGTCGTCAGACAATCACAATGTAAAAGAGACAATTAGTAGTTTAATTTTCGATATTGTCTGCTGTTAGTCGCGCTAAACTAAAATATTGCATTGCGAATGCAATACCAGGGGTCAAAGATGTAAATACTGCAGGCTGTTAAGGAATTTCTTTCAACGTTTAATTTTCTTTTCGGATGCCTAAGGATATTTACTTACAAGAATAATGAACATAGTGATAATTTACGTTGTACCCATCAGCGATAAGCATGAATTACCGGTGCGATACCTAATAGCGTTTTTATCATTGTATCGTAATAGGTAAGACAAATAATATTAATTAGAACTATCACAGGGGCCACAGATTCCAGTTAATATCAAATGAATGATACAGTACGTACATACGTGTATATTATATCAACGAAATACGTGTCTCTGTAGATAAGTTCTGCCCTACTGTCAATGAGTTCGATGTTAATAAAGACAATGTTGTTTACTCAATTTTATGTCGACAGTTATCCACTTCATACTCAAGCAAATTTTCTAACCTCTTCTGTAACGCCATATTACCAAATTTTTTTGTTTATAGTATTATTGCTTAGTAGCTTACTCAAACAGATTCTTATAGCTACGTTGATCCCTTGACTTAACTGTCAAAAAAACTCAAACACTCTACTAATGTAAACGCATGCATAGAAACGAAAGTTACTAGCCCTTCGTGACTTTTAAGATCAATTATTATGTAATGAAAATTCTGTAAGATTACGTTTGAAAAGAAATTGACTGTATTGCCTCACAGCTAGTAGGCCAGATGTTTGTTTGGTGACGATTTGGTTTTAGTGGGATACAAGAGGTTTGCTTATTGAATTTGTGTTCAAAGTTAATATGATCATCTTGTCGCGAGTTTTACTGCAATATGACTCGAATATTATGACATGATTAATTTACAGTAGTGTAATCGGAGTCCTACCCCCTAAAAATGATTATGATTTAGATTATTTGCATCTAATGAAAAGAGAAAAGACTGATGTAGGAATTTAGTGTCAACTTTCGAGTGATATTTTTAAAACTAAGATGATTACATATTCAGTCATTATGAATTATCGCTTCTCGAATCACAATCATTTGGTGACTGTTAAAAATCTTGATATCAAAATATCATCATAGTTATAATCAAAGTTGATTACTCGCCCATTCTATATAGCAAGGATGTTATTCGCAAGCTGCGGCATAAGAAGATATACTTCAAATTCGATTAGCCAGTTTATATTCATAATTTAAAAACCATTTGTTAGTAAAAAATGTAATCCATTGTTTTACAGCACTAACAACAATTTTTAATTGATCTGCCTGAGCAGTAATGAGAAACTGCGATTTGGTCTATTGGTGCTTGAATTGTTTTTTTTATTTTTGGTTTAATAGTGAGAACGACAATTGTATTAGTCAATCGTGAGAACACGTTTGTAAGCATGTACATTGATACTAGAAATGTGCTTCAACTCTGTGCAATATTTAATCCCTTTCTGAAGTAGTAGATGGACAAGCTTGTAAATACATAAAATAGGAGCCAGAACCTAACAGAAGTGAATGCAGTTACAGACTAAGATTTATAGAAATTTCTACTTAAAATTAACAATAGACATGTAATTTCGGGTTTGGGCGTATTACTGGGAATATAGCATTATTTCAGCAACGTTTCATTTCTGAACTCTAGCAAACGCGTTTCCTGCTGTTACTAAATAATTTCTGCTAGTTGATTGCAAAGCAACTCATTCACGTCCATTCATAGTACTTCGCCGATAATGATTAAAATTACAAGTAATCGCTGGTATTAAAATAGTTGGCGATGCAAGAATTAAAACCCTGAAACTAACTGAATAATACGCTTCTATCAGATGTACACACATACAAACAAATTTCAAAGTGCAAAACAGACGGTTTATTATCTCGTAGAATTTTCTTTAATCTTTCAGATAGGTAATTACTAATGTAATACTTTATGAAATTGTTTAGATTCACTGCAAATTTTCATCAATAAGGCTGAAAATCATACTGTCAAAGTTTTCAACAGTGTTAACCAAAATTTTACCGAAAAAATTGCTCCAATATTTCAACGTCAGCATGGCTGTTTCTTAAATTTTATTAAAATTGGCGGTCAAAGTCGTTATGTCGAAGAAACATTTATACATGAATTTGAAGAATTATTTTATCAATTCTATTATAACTTCTTAAGTCCAGCCAGTCAGAAGAAAAATGGTCAATGCATAAAATTAAGTATGCGATCGATTTCACCCTTTGGTAAAATTCCAGATGTGGTTTCAAGTCAGGCGTCTAAATTAGCCAAACAACTACGATTTATCAATTCCTTGTTATCAGATATTTTTAATATTTTAGATACGGCTATCACAGAACATAAGTTTTCTTCATCATGTTTAAATGCCCTGACTCGAATGAATTTTTGTTCCTCTTGCTCTCTAGTTGCAGAAAGCGTTCGACCATGTCGTGATATGTGCATTAATGTCATGAAAGGCTGTTTAGCTGCTTTAGCTGATATCGGCCCCTTGTTTCAGACATTTATTGATGCAGTCGATGACATGACCAAACATTTCAGTTATATCACTAAGTTGATTACATTATTCGAGTATTACGCCGCCAATATCTCGAATGGGATGCAAATTGCTGTTTCATCGGCTGATTCTATTTTAGATCAAGTAAGTGCAGTACTACTACAGTTGCCTAGCTATAATACCTTACATTAGTGGTTAGTAGCTCAACAAAATATGTCATAGATATTTTAAAACTAGTATGTGAATATTACACCCAATTCTAAATGTTGATCATTACCTTATCTGTTATCTGTGATTCATTAAAGGGTATGAATTTCCGATACATTTTAATTAAAATTCATTACTAATTATAGTGATACTTTCCATGTGCGTCTCCTTAGGCCCCTTATTCCATACAACTCTGCTATACCGATAATGTCATTAATGCATCAGTATTACTTCAGTTGTTATACTTCAATACTAATGAATTTGCCATTAGCAAGTCTTTATTGAAGCTATTAATAATTAATTGATCATTGTCTTGGTTTTAGGTTCGTTTATTATGTGACATTAGGCATCAATCCGATCCGATAGACAATTTAGGTCACATTGATTTTCCGGTTGACGGCAGAGCTATTAGTGGTGATATCGAATTTCATATGGCTAAACTTAAACTATTTCAATCGCTACAAAGTTTGAAAGATAGATTGAAGACTGCGCGGTTCTATTTTACTGATCTTCCTTATAAAATATGTCTTGATACTAATGTGGTTGAAAAGCGAAAACATCAAGCATGCTGGAATGGGAAAGAAGTTGGAAGGTAGATGTCTCTTGAACTGTACATAAATAACGCCTTGTTTCTAATTTAATTTTACTCTAAAGCATTAAAGGACAATTAATATAGCAATAGAGTTATTCGCATGTGGTTTAAATTTCTTTGGTTGATTAATTATAGATTAGACCAGTTTGGGGTTGATATGTGCTTTAAAAATAATATATAATTTTGTACATTCTATTAGATACAAATATCAAATTGTTCATGGTAATGGCACTAACGCGCAATTGAAAAATCCCGAACTGGACGTTGTCATCACCGATAATTACCGTCTCATAGTTAATGTATCAATGCGAATAAATCATTTAATATCTGAAATCATGGATCATTTACCGAATAAAGTGACTCCCCGGCCTATACCTACCAATGGCCACATTCCTGGAAACACTGGGAGTGGTTGCATTGGTAGTGGAAATTACGGCAGTGGACACGTACCAGATGACAATAGTGAGGACGACTGTGATAGAAACAATGCAAATGAAAGTGGTTCGACAATGCGTGATAAGGATGACGAATTAACAACAACAGAAGCTACTTATGGGGCTTCGACTGTTGCTGCAGGTACTATATTTCGTCTCAATATTAATGTTATTATATACGCATGCATGCAAAGGTTAGGTCGTGTATCGTTGTAATTTCAATTTAGGTCGTAATATGTATGTACGTTATTACTTTTAGACGACGATATTACGGGTTCGAGCGGCATGAACATTTTAGTAACCGCAAGTAACCAGCTGTATGTCCAGGATTATCAAACGAAATTACCGATTGAGACAACAACATCAGGAGCCATAATGCCTACATATAATAGATTCAGCCTTTTTGGATCTATACTCATCACTGTTTTGGTTTTTTTGTTATGCAATAGAAGTTGATTTATTTCAATCAACCGAGCTATTCTACAGATTATTGAAAAATATAAAAATTATTATTATCATGTTTATATATATAACCACTGGTGACCAGGATGCTGCATTTGGTTAATCGAACTGGTACCATTGTGAGTATCTCGGTTTGATTGCAAATCCAGATGTCAGAAAAAACAATTTTAAGAGCAAAGCTTGTAAAGTACGTAGTCAAATCATAGTTTTGGAGTTAACATATTCTGTAACATTGCCTTGGCAATCGGTATCTATTTTATATTAACATAATTTTTAATTAATATAACTTGGCAAAATATATTCTTGTTTTATGTTATCAAAGTACTATCGTGCATTTTTATACATTCTGCTTTTGTAAATATTTACTTTCACGTACATAGTCAGATCAACGATCTAGTAAAATTCCATACGGTTAATACGTCGCTGTAACTATAAATTACCAGCTGTAAGCTCTTTCAAGACACAGTCTAAAGTGCTACTGCGTTAGGACATCAAAAAGTGTCTCATCGTATATATTGGTTTCAAGGTTATGAACTGAAGTATTAATAGTTTTATCTACTGCTATGATTTGTGCATGAATTCATACATTTAGTTAAAAAAATTATTAATATGGTACGAAAAGTTATATCGACGGTAGATAAATTTTTATGTACAATTGAAAATGCTTGTGTCATTTGATTAATGGTTGCAACAGAATTTGACGTAAAGTTATGTGTAAAGATTAACGTTAATACTATGAAGCTTATTATTTCTAATTTGTTGTAGAACTAATTTTAGTCAGGACTTATAGATTTATATCGCTACGACTGCGTTAGAAATGCTATATTTTATGAGTAGCACAAAGTTAAGAATTTTAATGATATTGGTAAACTGGATGTGGCTGCCGTTTTGATGTGAAATATTCAAGAAATTATGTCTGGATAATTCATTTATAAACTGAGTTTAACTTTCACCTTGTAAAGTATTTCATTCTTGACGTTGAATTAAAATTCAAATATTATGCAATACTATTAGAAAATTAAAGCTTTGATTGTTCACCAGCATGCTGTTGATATATTAATAGCTATCTATTACAAGCTAGTTATATTAGCCGAATGGTGTAATAAGGGAGCGTTAATTTCAACGGTACCCATTCCAATGCAGATAGCGAAGAGCATTACGGGAGTAAAAAGAAATTAAAGAATGTAGCAATCACACCTAAGTGCCTTTGCTGTTAATTCCCAGAAAGCACGAGTTATTTTACAGCAGTGCGAAAAGAAAGGATTTAGTACGCTTCTATGGCGATCTCAATAATGTCGCCAACCTCACATAAAAAAATAAAGTTGAATTTTCTTTCTAGAGAATTTTAAACCGTGATTGCAAACTATTTATTAAGTTTATTTGTTTAAATTCAATGCATGCGATATACGAACGTTAAAAGGATAGATGGTTATTAGGCAAAGCTGAAGTTATTGAAATTTAGTTACTGTGATAAATCGATCATTGTAGCTGTAAATTTCTTGTAAATAATTTAATTTTGCCTTGAAATTAAATGAAAAAATATAAAAACAAGAATTTAGTACATAAAGAATATCGATTGGATTAAAGATCTAAATAAGAACCATTCAAGGCAATCCGCTATCAATGGAAGCGAATTTTATTTGCTTAATTATCAAATCAAAATAGAAGTTAATAAGCTTCTAACATGTGTCAATATACATTGATAGTAGATTATTTTGATGGGCAAAGTTAGAACAAATCAGATAGTGTGTATGAGGAAAAGAATTATAGAGAAAATTTTCGATTATAGGGCCTCACTCATAGTTATAAATGCAGTATTAGATAACTAACCTATCAAGTAGTAACACACTATACGATTAGTTAAATAATCATAGCTTATGTTAGAATTAATGTCATTTCATGATTTTAGCATATAGTTAATGCCGTGTACCAGAACAGTGATTGTACTAGTTATAATTCTAAGACTTTCATTCTACAATGGCTGAAAATGTAGAAGATAAAATAAAGATGTACAATAAAAATTGATCTTTCTGAATACGAATATAAAATCTGAGCCAACCAGACAAATAGATAGATAATCTCTAAAAGAGATTATCTAGCACCTTTTTAATTTGGTTAGGCTAGCAGAATTTTATTTAGTACAGATCACCTCATTATCCTAAATACGATCGCTAGAATGGATTTGATGATATAATAGAAAGAAAATGATGGATCAAATAATATCATTTTTGATAATATGAAGATTTTTCGATATTGGGCGGTATGACGAATAAATTTACCCTACTGTAAAATCTATATTAAAACGATCATATCCCAAATTTAAGAATGAATGTGCAAGGATATAAGAGTATCCTGTAAGTGTCTAATACAACTTCGATAATTATCATGTGAGTGAGTAGGAGATCAGAAAGATAGAAAAAAATAGGAAATTAAATAAACAATAACCTGATTACATTTTCATGCTTTCATTAATTACGGTGCATTGTAATTTTATTAATAGCACTATTTAAAAGAGGATTAAATAGAGTTACCCTTGTATATGATAATAGCAAACTGTAGACCTTAATCTCATTCAAATTTGCTTAAACTTACTTCTATCAACGATACAACTGTGAATATAATTTAACGGTGATAAAAAAAATTTAAATTCAGTAACCGTAGGCATAAAAATTATTAAAATTATTAGAAAGAGCGAGCTACTCAGTTGATGCTGATACTGTATTAGCTGTTGAGGAAATACGTTACATATATGAAATATATAAGCTGTAATTGCTAAATAGAGAGGACTGGTACTATGATAGAATCTTTCTACTATCTTGCATAGAACAATGTTTATTTCTGTGTAATTTTATTATTAATTCATACTTATTAAGACAGCGAAAAACTTCACTGATAGAATAAAGTCATTATAATAATTAGTAATAGAAATTAATCTATCTAACAAGTAATTCACCTTTTCACGCAATATTCGATGTACCCTGTCATGCATTAATAATCGTCGAATTATTATTTTAAATTAATTTCGAATTTTAACTTACAATCTACGTCATCAGCCCTTTATTTAATAATAACATTGCAGGTCGTAAGATATTCCATTATTGTCTTTTCTGGTAAAAATTCTATAAGCACCCTCATCTCCATTTGTAATGCAATTTCAGATAGCATAAACAAAAAAAAGTTGACACAATGAATAGTGAGTTGAAAGATCATTTCACCTTCAAAATAGGATTTACTATCATCATAAATTTAATCATTATTTTTTCACATTTGCAAGAGGATTACTTCATTAGATAGTGTAATTGCTCAAATACAACAATTAAAGTGGTAGACTATTCTTCTTCACTGACGTAGAAAAAATATCGTTAAGATCGACTGCATGAAAGCTCTTGTATTTAATAATACAGAGCGTCAGCACAACATCAATATACATTTCCAGGACTAATTCGACAATGAGAGAATACCAATAGGAAATTATCGATAGAATTAGAAGTGAAATAATGAAATTGGTTGTTTACGAGATTATTTACTTTTATGTCGCTTCTACGCTTAATCGTGTATGAAATACCTTTAATTAAAGGTGGTTTTATTTGATCCCCTTCTATTATAATGCCGGGATTAGCAACTATATTCTACTCTAGACAATTTCTTAATGCTCTTGCATTATAGGTCACCATGAAGCTGATACCGGATATTAACAACGTTCTCTATAGCAAACTTTCAATTAATTTGATAATAATCAACACTAGACGTGTTGATGTTAAAATTGAGATAAACATTATGAAATGAAAGCTGCCAAGGGCGATTTATAATAACTAGATTAGAATATACATTTATCGTGAAATTTTACAAAGATGTAACGCTGAAAGTTATTCTTCACAATTATTTTATTAATATGGTAATTCATAGACTATGTAATACACGAGATCAGTGATAAAATTAAGCATTTGCGCATTGGAAGGAAATATAATCTATTTTTTGATAGTGCTAAAAAAAATAATCATTAGTCTAGCCTGTAAGCCTTTAATATAGTATAGGCGATTTACACGTTGTTGCAATTCGTTTAAAGTGTTGCTATCTAGCAGTCAGTATGATAATATAATTATATTACTCTTAATTTGTTTCTGGCTGCCCATTATGGTGGCTGCAATAGATTATGTATTATTAAAATAATACAATACCGGTATGCTAGTACCAAAATATTGCAAAGTAGAAACCAATTTAGAATGATATAGTTTTTTCTACTTTTCTTTCATTTTCTGAAAACTTGTGTCTCCTTAAACAGGGCTTAATATATCTTGAAGACGAATGATCGTTGTTACTCAGATTGTAGGATTATAATTTACATAGCTAAGATTAATTTATGTCGTACTACATCATACTGATCATAAATACATAATGTTCCGATAAATATCGCAGTGACTGTTATTAATATTTATTTACAAAGTCATGGGATTCAATAGAGGTATTTTAATGAATGTTTTGAATATATTTGCGTAATGCGTATACATAAAGTACAGACGATCATTTATCTTACAATAGTTATTCAGCTTAATAGTAATTACTCAGTTTAGAAGTTGGCAATTCTTTTTCTGGGTTAGAATATATGCTAACCTTATTTTTATTTCGCGGTTTTTGATAAACAAAGATGAATAGTAAATATTTATAGGTAATTGTCACAACCCTCATTTGTGGCAAAGGAAAGTAAAGAACTCTAGTGTAGTTACTTAAAACTTGGGCTATTTCTCCCAGTACTTTCAGTTTCTATGAGAGAAGTATTTGAGAACTCGATTTCTCGCCTGATCTCCACAGGCAACTGACTAATTATTACACTATTCTTCACGATATGGGCCTTTAAATTTTGATTTGATGTAATGCTCTGATGAAAATTGCATAAACATAGAATCTTTATAGTGTTTTCTACACAGCCATTTTGATTGTTACATTTTCTTATAACGGTTGTTATCGACAGAGCAAGCTTTGCTTGCATCCGCAAG